GCTGCATTCTAAATTGCTGCATCTTTTTTTCCTGTACTTCAAGGCATTTGTGGCTGATCTGAGTAGGACAGGATGCTGCCTGAGCTTCAGTTCTTATTATCATTATTTGTATTATGATTACTCTCTAGAATATTGTACTTTCAAAGTGAAATGAAACTGCTAAGTCTGTACTTGTCTACATGATTGTATTTAAATATAAAATAAGAAAAAAGATATCTTGAAGTTCAGATAAATGTTCAGTCAAAAAGAACGAAACTCCTAGAAAAAAATGTTTTCCAGACGATATTAGTCTATTAAATCAGGCTGTAGTTGTTTCTCCCCCAGTTGCTTCCTTGATATTTTCTATGAGGAGAAGCAGCCATAATCCATTCCAATAAAAGACAGCACGGAAGGGAAAGCTGGTAAGTTTTTTGATACGTGCTGTTTGTATGAGTGTATGTGTGTATGAGTGTGGATGTTGATGGTGAGGCGCTTTCATTTTTAAGAGTATGCTCTGTACCATTCATCTGTGGATTTAAATAAAGTTGTTGGGAATATATGATACTTCAGCCTTAAGCTGTCAAAAATGAGATTCCAAAGTATTCAGCAGCACAAAATAGCATAAAAAGAGCTTTGCCACTATTTATCTCTGCTTGCCAGCTTGTAATGTTGATGTATGATATGTCATAATAAAGCACTGAAATGAGTACAGCTACATAAAAAAGTGAAGCTACACGGCCACAGACACTGAAATATTTCTGATTCCTCCCTTTCTCCCTCTTTCATCCACACGCACTCATACTCAAAGGCACACACGCACATGCTCTCACAGTGATCCTGCTATAATTCACCCGTTTGACAGCGTACAGATATGATATACACTAGAGCCTTCAAAATAATTGCACCAAAATGGTGAAAGCTGTTTTATGTAAATCCCAAATCCATAGTTTCCATTGACCTTAGTGACAGTGACAAGACTCAACACTTTCTAAAATCCAGGTCTATGTTTGATTTTCCACCTCCTTACACATTTGTGGCCCTTTAAATTTCTTTTAAATTCTTCATTTATTTTTGTTTTTAAAACTTAGAAAAAAAATAAAAACTTTGCTTTTTCCCACACTTGTTCTTATGAAACAGAATACATAAATAAGTATCAGAAACCAAGCAAGAGATGCTGTCTGCTATACTGAATATTTTTTTTTTGTAAATTTAATCAATTTTAGTTTTTATTTAGGGAAATCTATTCACACTAAATCACAAGTTTTCATAGCGTTTGGGGGAAAATATAACATGCCTGACCTCTTCCCAAAGGTCTAACACTAAGATATTGCTTAGCAAGAAGTGAAATTGAGTAAAAAAAGAAAAATATTCCCAACAACAAACTTAATAGCAGTATCGATAAACAAAATCCCTGTGTTAAATAACATTTTACCTTTTAGCCGCTGACCTGGCAGCTGATCTCCATCACAATCCCGATGTGGAAACAGTACCAAAGTGTGTGATTATTAACCTAAATAAAATATATGACACCTTTATAAGTTAATGAAATAGAACACTTAAATCTACTTCTTTTACCATTAAGGCTGGTTTCTGACCAGTTCTCAATATTCTGTTCCCTCCACTAGGTGAGATATTCTATTAACTTTGGTGGAGCAATGCTGATATGAACATCTGTCCTCTGATCTCTACTTTGTACAAGTGTCCAGTCTTAACAGTTCTCAGAACAAAATTTATTTCCAGAATCAGTTTAGTTGCGTGGGTGGAACAGGAATCGGAGTTTGTCTCCTTTTTTAGTAGACTATTTATTCTGTCATGGAGAGAGAATATTTTCACCACATGGGTGCATTTTCCCTCCTGCCCACTTCTGCTTTTCATTTTTTATCTTTGTTCTTTGTCTGCTTCATGCTTTCAATATGTCATTCCACGTCTAGTCCAGCTTTGTTTGCAAAGTTGGCATTCTGTTGCGACCATTCATTCACACTCAAATTAGCAATGCTACTTCTGTATGTCTAATAAGTAACAATGTAACAAAAAGAACATCCACAGTTGCCTATATCTCTCCTTAATATATTAGGCAAAGAGTAAATGGTTATTATATGCACATATTATGTTTTACAAATTAGACACATGCATGTGTGTGCGTGCATGCACACACACACACGCATGATACACAATTAGTGACTGATTATGAGCACAGAAAAGGATAAAATACTGCCGGAGGAAAAAATTGTTTCTGAATGTGTAGTGCATTGTATGAAGCCGAAAGGGAAGCAACATATCCAAGTGAGTGACCTGTCTCTACTGGAGAGCATTAGAATAAGAAAATCCCCTGAAGGCAGTTGCTATTTGTTTCATTAGCCTGTGGATGCTTTAAAGCTTACTGAAGTCCTTAGAAGTTCAGTAAAGAAAGACTTCTCTGCTAGGATGTTTTTGCCTTGTTGTCTTTGTGAGGGTATGGGCACATCAAGATAATGCTACATGTTGAAATCTTTACTCCTCTTCCCCCTAACCCAAAACATTATCACAAGACAGCAGCCTACTTCCATCCCAAAAGGCATTACGTCAGCCAGCCCTTGCCTTGACTTGCGCCACCACTTTTCACTGCATCTCTCTGTTGCCACCAGAATCTCCCAGTGATGTTAGACATCGATTACGGCCTGCCGTTGTACCCTATTGCTACAGCCACAGCTACAGTGCTGCGGAACTGCAGATTTTGCTTTTCCCAATATTTTCTACTTATTTTATACTTTAATTTTAAAAGCAAGACAGATTCCCCCCCAAATCATCTTGTCTTTGGGTTGTGAAAAATATGGAGGATAACTACAGATAAAAAGTGGATTTTTCTTATCCTCTTCTAACTTATATATGAACAGAGCTGTCATATGTTAAGATTACAACAGTCTTTTCCACATTAGGACTTAAACTTGGGTTAGCAAATGTGCTAGAAGTGGTGATCATGCAAGATCATATTTTATCAAAATGAGAGAAAGAAATGTTATGAGAAGATGAGACCTGAAGGTTCAATATGTCCTGTTTCTTGCCAGGAAGCAAGGAAATGGAAGTGCTTCTTGCAATGTTTTACTGTTTTTACAGTGCTTTACAATTTTAAGTGCTGCCTTAAAATCAGTTACGTTTCTCTTAGATACTAACTAGATTACGTATGTAGGAAAGTTGCTTTAGAATTTCAACACTCTGATAACAAGATGTTTTTTTAATAATGTACCGATTCTTATACCAGTGTGGTCCTCTAGTTTAAACAGCTCTTCCTTTTTTCTCTGGTATTCACGTCACAGTTTCATCTGGGTAGAAGACTTTTTATATTTGTAGAGCCATATTTATAGGCAGAACTCAAATCTTCCTTCAGCCTTTGTGTTGCTAGAGTGCAAAAGTCAAACTCTTCTTGTTTCTTCTCATAGAAAGGTTTCTTCTCTCTCTAGAACATCCCAGTAGCCTTTCTCTGCATCTACTCAAAAACAAATTAATCTTTCTTCACTGTAGGTGAGCAGAAATATGCTTAGTATATCACACAAAGTCTCAAAATTCCTTATGTGAGAAAACGAATACTCCCCTAACTCTCTTCAAACCCACTGTCCTAAGGTAAAATGGTATAGCCTTTTCTCCTTTTCATCCATTTCGAGATTAATGGACTTTGGAAGTGTGAACTACCCATTCAACAAAACTAAAACCTATGCTAGATGCTAGAAACTGGGAACTGGCCTGACAAGAAGAGTTTATCAGCGCTATTTTTTAGACTTCATACCATAAGATGCAAAATTCTTTCTAAGACAATAGACTTTGAAGCTGAAGAGGTCATCATGTGTCCCATATGCCATGGATTTCCCAGGCAACCTCCCCAGGCTAAACAAACTAGCCAAGGGGGTGTCCATAACAGAATTTGGTCTTGTGATGATTTAAGCATAGAGATAGGATAAAGAAAAAACACTTTAAGATTTCTGACATAAAAATTGTATCAGGTGATCATGAGTGAAAATTTTGAATCTTATCTGTTGCAAATGCATTTATTTGAATGGATAGTTGGAAGTGCCCTTACATATAGTGTGATAAATTCCAATGCTTTTGATTTTTTAACCTTGTATTAAAATGGTCACAGGACCAAATTTAGGTTAGGCTTGAGAAAGCACTGCAATAAGAGGGCTAATGGAATTTTGCAGGAATTTTTTTTTTTTTTTTTTAGAAATTCCATGGCGAAATTTGCTGACATGGCAACAGTTAGAAAATACAAGGGACTATATGTCTTTAAATGAACCAATTACTCATTTCTTTCGATTTCATAGAAACATAGCCCAGTTCTGGTAATGTTAAAATCAATAGATTCACTGACCTAAACTGCTGCATGGTAAAAACAAGTATTACTTATGAACTCCAGGCACTCACATATGGTATTAGTAAATGTGCAGGCCTGTATTTGACCTTAAGTAATCAGTGAATGAAAGCATGTAATAAAGTTGTTCATAATAGAGATTGCGGAGTGACTGATTAAGTGATTACTTTAATTTTCCTGAGAGAAAAATATATTTGCTGACATGGCAACAGTTAGAAAATACAAGGGACTATATGTCTTTAAATGAACCAATTACTCATTTCTTTCGATTTCATAGAAACATAGCCCAGTTCTGGTAATGTTAAAATCAATAGATTCACTGACCTAAACTGCTGCATGGTAAAAACAAGTATTACTTATGAACTCCAGGCACTCACATATGGTATTAGTAAATGTGCAGGCCTGTATTTGACCTTAAGTAATCAGTGAATGAAAGCATGTAATAAAGTTGTTCATAATAGAGATTGCGGAGTGACTGATTAAGTGATTACTTTAATTTTCCTGAGAGAAAAATATGCTGACCCAGAGCTTAATATAAATCTTTGAGGAAATCTGTTGGGTCATTCTCCTCCTGTGTAAGAACTTTTCACTAGCAAAAATGGAACAGTTACATGTATAATCATTACTTTTTCTTTATCAGAAATTTTCCTATATCAAATGACCTGTGCCATTTGTCATGAGGGAAATGGAGTAGTAAAAATAAAATTATTAGGTAATAATAATTGTAAAAGGTAAGTGCCTATGTAAAGATTTTTGTAAATGCAGCAACCGAGGGATTCATCTTATGCTTCTGAACGTACTGAAACAAAAAAAATAGCCAGTTATGACTGTTTTTTAAAAAGAGAAAGCTGCTCACAAGATGGCCCTTGTGGCTTTGCCTCAAGCTCTGAATCCTCTGCTGTCCAAGTATTTGGCTTCTGGTCCCATCAGTTTTACTCCCTTGCCTTCAGCTGTACATCTCTTCCAGCACGTCAGAGCAGCAGTGCTCGCTGGTGGATCCGTGGACGGAGAGGGGCTTTCAGTTCCAGGTATGCTCCCACCCACCTACAAGGTGAGAGAACACACCAAGCACCAAAAAAGGAAGTATTTTCATGATGTTAGCCATGGATAGTGGGTATATAGAGAAGAAAAATAAAGAGATTGGTGTATTGAATTAAGGAAGGGACCACAGCTGGGTTAGTATAAGGTCTAGTATGACAAGCTGAATATCTCTGCATTTAATTTAAATTTAATTTAATTAACGTTTTATAGCCAATGAACTCGAACACGCTAAGTTTCTGATTTAGAAAATTCCACCAAGCTAGGCACATATACTTTCTTCAATAAACAACATGTATGGCCCATAAGAAGCTACTTAATTGATAAGAAAAATCTTTTGAAAACGGCTGCTATAATAGTCATTAAATCTTTGAAGCAGTAGCTGTTAAGGTTGTTAATCAGTTAACTGGACGTCTCTTAGACCCTGGCTAGACTAAGTTGCCAAGAATGTAGAAATATCAGATCCAGCCTATGGTGTGGGTATCTGGAAAAAGAGATTCAAAAAAAGAAGGTATCTAAATAAAATATTGGGAAATCAGAATACATGGCAGAGAAAATTCTTCAGCGTCGAGAACAGAGGAGAAATCTCTAATACCATTAAATGAAACTTTCTACCATGGGGTGATGTGATGAGCTCCTATGGGGAACTTGGTCGTTTCTTGTGGAATATATACATGTTTTGTTCCTTCTCTGTCACTTAATCTGAGAATGTTCAACCTAATTCTTTTTAGGCAAAGTGTTATCTAGGGATGTAAACAAACTTGTTGCACTTTTTATTTTCTTCTCTAAAGCATCGAAATTCTTTTCAGAAATGCACTGTTGCATGTGGGAAAATTTCAGCCAGTCTTTTCCTTGAGAGGAAGAGGTTCCCCACAGTCATGCTGAGGAAGACCTCAGGAGCGTAGGAATCTAACTTGAGATATCTGCTTGGCAATCCAAAGCTCCTTCTAATAAACAGTGTTACTGTTTTGCACGGCAGCCCAGCTCTCCTCAAAAGTGCCACGAAAAGGTGAGAACTAGAGGTTGGGGTCAGAAGAAGACTAATCGATGTTATTTCTACTGACGTTTTTTTCACTTGTGCCATACACAGTATGTTAGCTTTCAGAAAACACTGCAGAAATGCAGCCCCAGCATTCCAGAAGTGAGATGCTCTGGGAGAGGTCCACTTTCATCTCACTACATTTTTTTAAAAGGTCTGCTGGGAGAAAGGGCCCCAGATTTCAGGCTTAAGGCTGCTTTCAAAGGACCTGCTCTAAAGCTCTTCTGTGTTATGATTCCTACTGTAAGGCTATAGCCTTAGAAAGGTAGGTCAAAGAGTAGTCCAAGGTATATTAAGAAGTTATATTAAAGATGCCTCAAGGTAGTTTAAAGTCTGTGAATTGCGAGCACTGCTCTTTGGCCATTCACTGTAGGCCAGCTTTAGCTGTGTCTGAGCATATTTAGATAGGTTCTTGAATTCTTACTTGCTCACATGAGTAGTCCTTTTGACCTCGGTGAGTTTTTTGTATCTGAGCTCTTGCTCAGATTTTGAATGATGTAACTGGGACATCAATACTTTTCTTTCTCCTGATTCCAGAATTCTGTGCTTTAGGTTCTTCTTAGATCCAGAAGTTTGTCTGGATCAAAGTACTTTGTGATTTTGAAGACCTAAATGGGGCCATAACAAAGTTTGGTGCTCTGCAGTGAGAAAAAGATCATGTATACATTTCTGCATAATGTAAGTCTTCGATGCTTGGTTTTGTTTTGTTTGCTCTGCAATGTTTCCTTTTGAGAGTACGGCTACGAATATTGCATAAGGTAACAAACACGAGCGCAGTCTGCACAGGACTTAATACATAGATAGTCCTACTCTTTCTGATTTATACCATAGTCTCTTTCCTGAGACTATGGTATTTTGGTTGGACTATGGTTTATTTTCTCCTTTTCTGCAACTTTAGCAGGCAGGACACTATGTTTTTTCTCTGCAATGAAATCAATTTCTTCTTCTTATTATTACTAGACATCGATACAAACTCCCTTATTTTTGTATTCGTTTCTTGGTTAATAACTTCATATCTCTACATTTACTTTCCCAATATAACCCTAAAAGAGTCCAGACTCAGGTTAATAAGTTCACGCTCATGTAACTTTTTAAGTTATTCCCTTATTTGTGAAGAAAATTCCAACCTTAACTACAGATGTAGTTTTATTTCTATTATTTTGTACTTATTTTTAGGTTATAAAGGATACCGATTTTGCTGACTGTCTTGTTTCTTTTTTTTTTTCTAAGTGTGTGGAAAAACAGTATGGGATGGTGTAAAGACTGCCCATTAATGAATAAATGGAAGTGGAGTGCAAATAGTTAAATACTGTTATTATTATGAAGCCCTGTGTGCAAAAATATTATGACATATAAAAATGAAGTGCTATGTCTTATAAAATAGAACCATGAAACACTTCTGCTTCTGGCCTGTCCTTTCTGATATAAAGAGAACAAGAGTGAATGCAGAATTCAAGGTGACAACATAATAGTTTAACCAATAGCAGTAAAATGACTCATGTCTTCTTGCCATTTCTTGTAAGGCTGACGCACTTTAATTCCTCTGCTCAGAGGAGTAAGAAATCATCTCCTATATGTTGCAATATGAAGAGTTTAGAAACTCTTCTGTGAGTATGCAAAATATACTCCATTTTCTTGTTACTTGTCACCTCTCCACCCTCCTAGGAGAAAGTCTTGGGTTCACTTTGCAGAGCCCGTAGAGCTGTGAATCAGTGCTGATCACCAGTACCTTATTACACATGTTTAGTCAGAAAATTGCAGCCCTTATCTTTAAATTTAGAGTTTCCAATATGTTCCATTTCAATCAAATTTTACAGTTGCAATCTATTTGCTTCCCTTAGACTCTCATCAATGTAGAGCTCCCACAGTAAACAACACTATTTGCATCACTGGAGGATTTATTTTAAAATCTGGTTGCCAAACTGTTTTTCTCCTCCTGAGAGAAGTGTTCATAAAGAAATGTTTCTGTAAATGACCAGGCTGTTCCTCAGAGTTTGTTATTATTATTCCCATTTCAATGGTATGTGCAAATTCTATAAACTTGATTTTAATACTGTCATCTTGGGTACTTCACCGAGTAATTTACAGACAATGAAAGAAAGCAGACCAAGCATTTGTCTTTGTTTTTCCTTCCATTTCGAATTAACTAAGCTAAATTTTTCTCCAATTGGCATTATATCTTTTTGTCCCAGAACGCATGAGTTGCAAAAAGCAGCTGACTAATCCCATTCTTTTCATTAAAGAAGCTGGGTTAGTATTTGGAAATACTGGAAATTTTGTTGTGGTTTCCTTTGTATCTTGCTTTCAAAATCTTTGGGAATGGGTGTCTGAGAAAGAGAAGGTCCTGGTCTGTGTACAGTTCCACCAGCAACCTCAAATAGCCTTTTAATTGTCCTACTAGATGCTTCTGTGCAAATATTAGCCACATGCATACAAATGAGGTATTTTCATTCATCACTGGGCCTTTGGAGGCCTTATTAATGTAAGTAAAGGATCTTTATATTCGCCCTCTCTACCTCATGGCTAGCAACAACAAGGGCTGGATTTAATTTCTGGGTATCATTATTACATGCTGCTGGAGCACTCACCTAGAAAGTGGGGAAATTACATTAAACTGACTGAGTGCTCAATGAGCTATTCTTCTCCACTCACAGATGATGAATCAAATGGCTTAGCAAAACAGTGTGTTAGGGGAGAGAGGGATGAAAATGAGAACAAGAAGATAAACAGCATAACATGAGACAAGCAGCTACTGCTTTCCTAAAGAAAAACAATGGTGATTTCAAGCCTTCCATTCTCATGTCATGGAGAAACAACTAGTAGTTCTGCTGGTTGCTTTCTACTGCACATAGTTTTACCCCACTCATGGTAAGGTCCTGTAACTGTATTATCTACACAGCAATGCCTCACACACCAGCCGTTCCATGTGTCCGTTCTTCTTTTCCATTACCTTTTCTGCTTCTTCAAGGGCTTTTGCTCTTCAGAAGGATTACCACAACTCATAGGCCCACAGTCAGCTCTTCTTGACAGAAAGCACCATCTTCATGTCCTCTCATCCAGACACTTTTGCATGCTAAAGCTGCAAAATATTACACTGGAAACATACTCGTCCTAGGGCATGTTTTTAGCACCATTAGCTTGCCCAGACTTGCACATAATGCAAACATGCCCATAAAATATGACAAAACGTAAATATGATGAAAACATAAAATGCAAATTGAACAAGTTTTGAGTGACTGCTTTCACTCAGTTCCCCATCTCTACACCAGACACCAACAGAGCTTTCTTCCAGTCTAGGTTTCAATCCCTGCTGGGCTCTCTGGGGATCAATATGCTTTGCCTTAGACCTCATTCACTAGGATTACATTTTAATATTTTTTATCAGCATTTTACAGTTATAAAACTGAGGCACTGCAAAATAATGCATTCAGCTCAAAGTCTCTCAGAATCTGTGGCAGAGTGAAACAGTGAATCACGGTTTCTGAGTCCAGTGTCTTAGCCAGAAGCTCATTGGCTATCAGACCATTTAATATGAGCTGTATTTCCTATCAGGAGACCAAATTTCAGCAATAATATTCCAAACATAAGCCAGCAAGACTTAACCAAAGGCGGCGCTTTAACTGAAAATTGGCATTTCTTTGGGTTTTCAAATCCTTCTGAGATTAAGGATAGGTTTTTGAAAACAAATAGAGGGCCTGATAATTTTTTTATCAGAGGTAGAAAATTTGCCAAAGTGAAGAGCAGTTTAAATAAACTAGATGAATACAGATGGACAAATTATTTTGTCTTTTTAATGTAATACAGCTACTAAAATTGGTAAAGTTATTGTATTATACAACCTAACTCTCAGCAAAATGTCTTTTAAAAGGGATTACTCAAGGTAGGACTAAATCCTGCCCCTTGGCACTCACATATGACATTCATTCATCTCACATATGACATTCATTCATCTCGCTGAAAAGCATTTTCCACTAGACTTTTGAAAGAAAGAGAACATCTGAAGTTGGTCATTATTTATGCCCCACTTGTGCCGATTTTATTTTTCAGAACATATCAAAAGTAAAGAAAATATGTTAAGTTCATACTTTTACTGTTCATCTTTCATGTGTCCTCCACATGAATGGAGTCTTAGTAATTTCAAAACTTAATTCTGGGGCCAGTAAGTCAAAGAAATCCAGAAGTCTTCAGGGAAAAAGTCTCTTAGTTTCAACTAAAATGTGAAAACCACATTTATTTAAATAAAAATGATTGGATTTTTTTTTCAAAGAAAGGGACTGGTGTTTGGGCTAAGCCTCCTGTGAGAAGACCTAACTTCCACACTTACTGTTTATGGGGATTTTCAGACTCAATTTACTTACCTATTCAATAAGGGAAAGTAATTGTTATCCTACTCCTTTCATTATGTGATGCAAATGCTATCTCTGCAGTACAGAAATGCTTCTTCAATTTGGATGTCAGAATATAGGGTTTATTCCAGTAGTTTAAACATGCATTTTAAGAGACCATTCATCTATTTTCGATGAACAAACATTCTTCTGAGTTTGTTTTCTCATTCAGCTTTAAAACAAATAATTATGTGGAAGATAGATAGAAATATGAGAGGAAGAAAATGAATACAGGGTGTAGCTGGGTTTTCTGTGATTCGCTAGTTATTTCAAGCCTTCCTTCCGTATATTGATCTTTTACTGAGGGGCAAATCTAATTCCTTGTATTACAACTAAGTGTAGGTATACGGAGCAGAGGGCCTCTATGTCAGTTGTGGTGCAAGGTAGAAGATTCTCACCACTGATTTGCAAGAGGTGTTTTGCAGATGCTGGCCTATAGCGAGTAGGTGTGTGCCTTCCTAAGGGATGGAATAAGCTATTCTGATTAAGACAGGCTATAAATTCCAGTGAGCTGAAAATCAAATTTCTCTGGAAAATCATGACTCAGGACAAGAGAAAAAAGCCAGGGAATTTAAGGCCAAAATGACTTTTTAGGGCAGCTGGATATAACTAAGAGCAGCCCTGAGGCCAGCTCCAGGATGGGAGAAATGCAGATGTGTTTTGAAGCTACTACTGTCTTCTCCGATTCCCCATGGTCTACAGAAGAGGATATCACTGTATCTGTCTCAGTGCTTCATTTGTGAATGGCTCCTGCTAGAAGCTGTCATTGGATAGGTGCAAGCATGGTATATCAGAAGATATTGCACATGAGAGCTAGGAGACAGGGGACATGAGTTAACCTTGATTCACTCAGGTCCTCACATGGGGACAAGGGGCAAATTCACAACAGCTCCTGTGCACTTACTCCTCTGGGCTCAAGGGATATGATGAGACTGATGTGCTCTGCTTTTGTGAGCTGGTGATTTGCCAGATGTGTATAATTCACCTTTCTTTACCATTTATATTGGGATGACATTTCTTAATCCTTTCCCCTTTTGGCAGCCTTGTGATAGTCACAAATTACAGACTCATGCTGCAGTTTACTGTTTGCACTCCTTGAATGTCTTTATCTTCAATAGGGGCTGCAATTACTTTTATGAATAAGCAAAGATATAGAGAATAAGAGCAGAGAGACTTTATTTCAACACCACTACTGTGTCTGCTAACATTTTGAACTCCCAAATTTCCTTTGAATCTTAATGGGGTAGTACACAACTGCAGGAAAACGAAGATGTAGAAAGAACTCTCATTGTT